CTTCTGCATTTTCTGCCATAAAGGTGATATCATCTGCATATCTGAGGTTATTGATATTTCTCCTGGCAATCTTGATTTCAGCTTGTGCTTCATCCAGCCTGGCATTTCTCATGATGTACTCTGCATATAAATTAAATAATCAGGGTGACAATATGCAGCCTTGACGTACTCCTTTCCCGATTTGGAACCAGTCTGTTGTTCCATGCCTAGTTCTAACTGGTGCTTCTTGACCTGCATACAGATTTTCAGGAGGCAGGTCAGGTGGTTTGGTATTCCCATCTCTTCAAGAATTTTCCACAGTTTGTTGTGATCCACACAGTCAAAGGCTTGGCGTAGTCGATAAAGCAGAAGAATATTTTCTGGAACTCTCCTACTTTTTCGATGATCTAACAGATGTTGGCAATTTGATCTCTGGTTCCTCTGCCTTTTCTAAATCCAGCCTGAACTCTGGAAGTTCACAGTTCACATATTGCTGAAGCCTGGCTTGGAGAATTTTGAGCATTACTTTGCTACCATGTGAGATGAGTGCAATTGTGTGGTATTCAACATTACAAATGGAGAAGGCAATGGCAACCCACATCAGTACTCTTGCCTGGAAAATCCCATGGATGGAGGAGCCTGGTAGGCTGCAGTCCATGGGGTGGCTAAGAGTCGGACATGACTGAGCGACTTCACTTTCACTTTTCACTTTCATGCATTGGAGCAGGAACTGGCAACCCACTCCAGTGGTCTTGCCTGGATAGTCCCAGGGACGGGGGGAGCCTGGTGGGCTGCCATCCACGGGGTCGCACAGAGTCGGACACGACTGAAGCGACTTAGCAGCAGCAGCAACATTACAAATGGTAAATATTACTAGTTAGTTAGATTACTTATTTTCTTATTGAGAAAATACAGCTAGCTATACTTAAAATTTTCATTTCAAAAAACATTTTAGATTTTTTTTCTTTTCTCTACATATAGGAGTCAATTTACAAGGCCATGAAAGACTTATTACTCCTTTCATTTTCCCTTTCTTCATTACTGAGCATCCTCTGTTTTCAGCAGTACTGGTTTGCATCAGAGTATATGAACAAAAAGAATACACTGACAAAAATAAATTTCAAGCTCCCTCTTCCTTTATGGAAGGAACCCTTTGAAGCCACACACTGAAGATAGCAGCAACACTTTTATAGAATGAACTGAGTACCTGATTGGCTCCACAGAGCTAAGCTGAACCCAAACACTCTATGGAATACCAAAAACTCATTTAAGGCATAATAAATGACGCTGAAACTGGAGTTTACAATTTAGAACCCAGCTGAAGCAGTGCATCTGTGTTATAGTGTTGTTTGCCTAGAGGAAGCATCTGTAGAGCAACCCAGGAAGCCCTCAAAGCAATGATAGAATTTGGGTTGCAATCAAGAAATTCACCATGGCTATGTACAAACACTGTTTTAAAACATCTCCCTAAAAGTCAAGAAATCTGGATTGAATACTTGCTCTTCCACCAATAACTTATAACTGAGAGCAAACAATTAGACATTTCTAAGTTTTATAGTCTTCATTTGTAAACAGCCAATTACTCAGTAAGTAAAAGAAGCAGACTCACTTCATGAAGCACACAATAAATGTTTGCTTTCAACATGCTTTCACACAAACGCTCACCCAACTACTGATGGGCTTCCCAGGCAGTGGTAGTGGTAACGAACCTGCCTGCCAATGCAGGAGACATAAGAGAGATGGGTTCGATCCCTGGGTTGGGAAGATCCCCTGGAGGAGGGCAAGGAAATCCACTCTAGCATTCTGGCCTGGAGAATTCCATGGACAGAGGACTCTGGCAGGCTATGGTCCCTAGGGTCACAAAGATTCAGACAGAACTGAAGCAATTTAGTGCACACACACACCCCTACTGACACAAGGGCTCCAAATTCATATATCTGAAGACAGTTATTGTTATGATGTTTGTGGTATAAAAGGCTTTTACAACATCTGTATGTTGGAGTTAGAAAACAAAAATCTACCTTATGAAAAAGAAGCCAAACTAAATAAATCCTCAATAGGCAGGTCTTAGAATATATACATTCTTATGAGTTTGTTTTCTGTAAGATGTTTAGAAGTAGCAATCTATTTTCCCATAAAAGATTCCCAAGCTAGTTTATTTAAATACAACCAAAATACGTACCTAATTTGCATTATATGACCATCACCACTAACAACAAAGAATTCACTGGAATATACATTTAGCATTCCAGCTTAGGATGATTCTTGGGAGCTATCTCTCTCTACTAAATTCCAGTAGCTAGAACATAGGGACTTCCACCCCCCAGTCATGACTCTATCTTTAAACTTACTAGGATGTAGGGCTGGAACACTGGCTACTCCTCTGTACCCATTCCATTTTCACAGCAGACTCAAGGAACATGTGCATATAATCCCTTGGGACAAGGATGGAACTAGGTATGGCACAGAGGGAAAGGCAAAAAACTTGGGCCTCTCTGAAGCGTGACTTAAAAAGTAGGCAGGCACTGGGTGTGACTAAAAAACAAGAATGGTTTCTTTCAAATCTCTCTCTTTCTTATACTGACTACCACTGGAAAACCAAGTAGAGTGACAGCCAAGGATCAGATAGAGAAAGCAGGGCTGAACAACCTTTTGTATTTGTACAACCTTAGTACAAACAGAACCTTTTGTACCATGGCAACTGGATCAATTTTCCCTTCTACTTCTTTCTGCTCTACTAGTATTACAAACAAGAAAGATGACACCCAATCCTCCCACTAGACTATGAGCTCTTTAAAGATAGAGATCATCTCCTGCCCAACTTCATACCCCTGGGGCCTGAAAATCTGGCACACAGTAGGTGGTCAATAAAGGTACTGTGTGAATCAATAAATACAAAGGTAGAGGATGCTGTACGCTGCCATCTAGAATCCCCTCTGTAACTGAAGGGCTTATTTTCTGATCTACTGGGAATACTGCTGGCAGACAGTCCTCACTGTCTGCCCCCTTAGGGAACTGGTTTAGCTGAAGAGAGCCATTTTGATCCAGGATCATACTGCTTCTGGGGCAGCCTGCATCTTAGGACTGGGGACATAAAGGTCCACCTCCCCTCATCCCAACCCGAAACAATTCTGAGGACCCTTTCAGCTTCACAGCATCCTTTGGGGTTGCTGAGACTCATCAAGTTTAATCTCTCCTGTGGAAACTAGGCTTTCTTCCTTTGTATGGCATTGGGGCCCAGAGGCCTTCCTGGTAAATCTGCTGCACTCTTAATTTCCATCTTCCAGTCTCCTTTCAAAAATCCAACCAGAGACAAAGTCTGAAAGAGGATGCAGGTCTGATTAGACTTAAATAACCCAAGAAAAGGTATTTGACTTCAAAGTAGAGGTCAGTAAATAAAAAACATTTAACGAAAGCTCAAGAAATGAACTCTTTTATTTCTAGCCATCTGTTTCCGTTTCAGCCACTGTAACTAATCAAGAGACCTAAAGTATTTTGAGGACTGCTTAAAAAAAGTACATTTGTTTAACTATCATGCAAACTACTGATGTTAAATTGTACCAAGTTCAATTCTTGACTAACATAAAGCAAAAAAATAAATTAAAAAACATCAATGAATTTAGAATAAACATGATATAAAGTACTGCAGAGAAGAGAGCTGTTCTTATCCCGAGTGTTAATCAACATGTAATATGGTAAGGAACTGCTTTTCCACTAAAAGTTACTTAATATGTTAAGTACAGCACTTTCAGTTACAATTGACAGTTAGAAATGCAATGCTTACATATAAGTCATTGTTCAAATATGGAGTTACAAAGTACCAGAACTAATCAAGGCACAACTGAGTAAAAAAATAAAATAAAATAAAAAAAACACCTGATGAATAAGAAAACTTTGTTTTATTTAGGTGCAGCTCTACTGGACACAAGCTATTCTGGTCTCACAAGAATGATTGACAAGGTTTAACTATGAAATTGAGGTTCAAGAATTATTTCAAGCATTTAAGTACTCATTTTTTTAGTTTTCTTTTTAATTGTAAGGCTACTTGCCAGTTTGCTATACAGCATGGTTAGCACTAGTCAGGTTTTCTAATACTACTTAACAATTCATGTTGATTATGAAAATCTGGAGGTTTCACCAAAGTATATAGATAACAATATTCAGCTTTCCTATAGAAGTTAAATGAGTGTTGACTATGTACAGCAAATGTTTGTTAACTCCTGGAAAATGGTCCAAAAGGCACTTAGCAGATGTGTATACACTACCTGCCAGGATAAGAGATTCTTAATTCTATTAATATCTATATATATTTCAGAAAACCTGCCTGGACTTAAATCATCTGCTATGTGAAAATTAAGAAGCATGCTGAGTGACACTAAATACCAGCATGCCCTCTGTCGTATTACTTCACCATTATGTTCTCTTCTCTTCTTTCAGTAACACAAAAGTTAACTAAGTAACATTATTTAACTGCAGAGACATGTTTTGAAAGTTGTAAGATTGTATTTAAAGAACACTGAAAATGGCAGGGCACTGAGAGGACCTGGTGCTAGAACTAACACACTTAAGTATTTTAGCCAAAATTAGTATCACTGAATCACTATAATCTCTCACACAAATGCTTCATTAATGTAGTTCATCCTTAGCTTTCCTATCACAACCTAAAACACTCAGAACCCATCTTTATTTTTTAACACTGCTTTCACTTCATCATGCTTTCCTCTGAATATTCCTACACAGATTTCTTTGTTTGTTCCATTCTACAAGGAAATGAATTAAAAATCAAAATTATTTTTAGCTTCATGTATAACAACATGATATTCAATTTTTTGACAAAATAAAATTCAGTACATTATGAGTCACTTTATTTTGTGGGTTTTTAAAGATGATTAGTTTGTAACTAATTATTTAGAGGGACACCTTCTTAATTTGCAGATCCTCCTTCAACTATAAAGAAATAGTCATCTCTTAAAATTTGTTACATGGCATATCTCAGATGTATTAGGCCTTTGTCATCTTACCATGAATACTTCCTAACGTAATATCCCCAGCAGCAGAAGACAGAAATGATGATTCTGTATAAAGATACTTGACTTTCAGCAAACCATCTTCAGTAGATATATTAACAGAACTTCCCTGTAGTTTGTCTACAGTCACAGTCTAGTAAAAGAAAGATTCAATCAGTATAAAATGAAGGCTAATAAAAAGTGAAAACTGTGCCAACAGAATTAGTGAGCAACTAATATGTACAGCATGCAGTCAACTTACTGACTTCAACTCCCCAGCTCTAATTACATGATTATGAGCAACAGTGTATTCTCTGTGGAACAGATCCAGTATATTCCTTCATTTATTTAGATCTTCTTTACTTTTCCCAATAATGCTTTATATTTTCTATGTAGAGTTCTTCATGTTTTGTTAAATTTATTAATATTTTATGTTTTCTAAATATCATTATAAAAGGTATTTTTTAAACATCATTTCATCTTAATTGGTTTTTGTAGTTGACCTTAAATCCGAAGCCTCACTAAACTCACTTAATTCTAATAATTTACCTGAATTAAAATAATTTTTCTATGTGCATAATTATATTGTTTACAAGTGATAGTTTCATTTCTTCCTTTCCAATTCTCATATTATTTTTCTCGCTCTTTCTTGTTTATCCAGCTCAGGCCTCCAATTCAACAGTGAATAGAAGTGATGGAGTTATAAGCAAGCATCCTTATCTAATTCCTGTTCTCAGAGGGAAAGCTTACAACACTGCATCATTAAGTATGATGTTTGCTATAGAGATCTTCTAGATGCCTTTTTGTTAGACTAAGGAAGCTCCCTTTTATTTCATATCTGTTTTGTTGTTGTTGCTGTTTAAATGATGAATGGGTTTTAAATTTTAGCATATACTTTGTCTGATTTTATTGGACTATCATATGATTTTTCTCCTCTCATCTGTTAATGTAGTAAATAAACTATTATTTCTAGAATGTTTTCCCCTTACATCGAATGTCAGTAGTTGTACATCGAACAAAATGGAAATACTTTTATATTTATGTCTAAGCTTCCCTAACAAAATTTAGTATGCATTTATGTCTCAAATGCTGAGCACAATGTAAAATGAAGATATCTAATTAAGAACTCCAGACTATCTTTATAGTATTTTAAGCAAATATTTTATAAGCATAAAGTGATAGTTAATATAAAATTGCTGACATAAAAACTAAATCACCAGGAAGGCATGCCACAGTTTTGCCCAGGGTCAGATTCAAGCATTACACTGAGGTATTTAAAGACAGAACATCTTTGTTTCTCAACACATTGGCATCAGTATTATTCAATCTTAATATTTCCTTCAAAAATTGTTGAGTGCAAAATATTATCTAACAAGAATTGAGTTTCAAGAATACTAAAATACAAAAAGAAATAAAAGTACCTAGAGGTTGTTATGGTAAGTACACTAGAATTACTTTGCCATCTGGATTTGAAGTACAGAATTTTCTTTTTTAACGGACTTTTATTAGATATATTAAATACACCCCCCAAAATAAATAAACAAATACACCTAATTACTTCTTATCTACTACAGTTTCTTTTCCACTAATTATGGATTCACAGGTTTACTTTAAATCTAGTTTCGATAAATCTGTCAAAGGACAGATATTTTACATACATTCAGATTTGTGAGGATACACATGCTTTGCATCCTTCAGTGTAACATTAAAGGTTTAATATTCCTAAAAAAATTATCCTTTACCTACAAAATTTCTCTATGAAAAGTTGCTTTATGCATAGCTTCACATTCTCCAAGCATTTCCATAAAGCAGACAAATATGAATACTCTAGCTCTTTATAAACAGTGAGGCTGTTTTAGGGAATACCAAAAGATAAATATTGAAAGAATATTTGAAATTTAATTGAACTGGCAAAGGAAGAACTTTTGATTAGACTCTCCCCACAATCAAATAAAGCCTTTAAGACATTCCTTATGTATTTATGAAAAAGCTAAAAATTTACTTTGTTCATTAAACACTAGATATTTTACCCTGTAGGAAGCTAAAAAAATATCCTCAAAGCAAATGAAAGCAAGCAAAAATACAACTCTCCCTGCCACAATAATATAACTATTTTAACCAATCCATCAATAAAATTACTTTAAAGAAATAGAAAATTCACTGAGGGCCATATATAATGCATTGTATCAGATACTAACTGGAACAATTAAACTTAAGGCACCATAGTTTAAATATTGAAGGTCTTATTTACATTAATGGTAACAGCACAAAGAGTAAAAAATAGACTCATTTAAACTGTACAGCTTGCTTGTTAAGAAAAGTAGCTATATAAAGAAAGAACAAAAAGCAGACTCAAAAAATACCTTTCTTAGAGAGATATTGCTATAAATTAATCTGCCTTCCTACACAAAAAGAACTTTTTCTCATTAAGTCTAGTTATTATAAATAAACATTATCAAATTAAAATGAAGCTTTAAGGGAAAATTGTAGCCTTGTAGTCCAAACTAAGAAAGAAAGGTCAAATGATAACTATATCATCAATTCATTCAACAATCAGATAAAATGGATTTCTATCGTCTCTGTATCAAACTTAGGATACATAAATTAACAATACAATTTAAAAAATAGCCATTCCATATAAAATGATACATAAAGAATACTGTTGAGTATTTATCATGCTCACTTGATTCTCACAATCTTCTTGAGCGAAAAAAAAACACCATCCCTATGTTATGAATAATGAAAGAGTCTCAGTCAAGTTAACTGGGAGGTTTAGGACTTGTCAAATTATCTTTCCTGTGTTTCACTTACCTCTATCAACATCATCGTCATCAACACTACAACAGAGTTAGCTATGCCAGACTGTATTAAGTACTTTATCTATATTATGTTTTAACTCATTTAATCCTCATGACAACCATATGAGTTAACACCATTATTCCATTTTCTAGAAAACCAAAATACATAGAGGTTAAATAACTAATCTGAAAGTAAAGAGCTTAGTAAGTGGCTGTGCCAGGATTCAAACCCAAGTATGCTGATGCTCAATTTTGTGCTCTTAACCAATTCACTATGCTACCTCTCAAATATCCAAAACATTTCCACAAAAGCTGTATATTAAAAGTTAATATATTTTATAAGCAATTTTTATATAAAGCCCCACAAACTTAGAAATATGTCTTAAAAATTAACACTATGCATAATATAAACTAAAAGAAATATCAAAATAGATTTGTTAGCACAACACAAAACCCAGTTAGGCAGGAAACAAACCAACAACAAAAAAAAACAGAACATAGGAATAAATGAATATTCAATAAACCATGAAAGTTAACAGAAAAGATAAATGATGAGTGGAAACAGTGGCCAAAATATAATTATGAAGACTTAAATCTTTGATAGTTACATCTGAACATCAGTATGTACTATTCTACAACTGCAGTTATCCAATTTCCTTTTGTACCTCCAAGACCACAATCAGAGAGGTGAAGCTAAATGCCATCTCAAAACAGCTGCCACATAAAGCCAGGCAGTGTCTTTCAACACTTTTTAAAAAGATAAATTTGAATGTTTGGGTTTAAACAGTCTCCCACAGGTTCTAAGGAAAAGGTGATGAAAAATAAAAAGGCAGAATAATTAGTGTGATAACCTGCCTTGTTTAATTATGCCAACAATAATCTACATATAGGATTCCAGTTCCTCTCTACCAGTCATTTGAGGATAAAGTTGAGTATGGAACTGAACAAATGCATGACGAAACAGCCATGCAAATTAACTGTAAAATAAAAGATGGCTTGTGTGCTCAGTCGTGACCGACTCTTTGCAACCCCATAGACTGTAACTTGCGAGGCTCCTCTGTCCATGGAATTTTCCAGGTGAAATACTGGAGTGGGTTGCCAGTTCCTATTCCAGGGGGTCTTCCTGCCCCAGGAACTGAACCTGCATTTCTTTCATCTCCTGTATTGCAAGTGTACTCTTCACTGCTGAGCCACCACGGAAGCCCCAAAAGGTGGCTTATAACTGTGTGCTAAGTCATTTCAGTTGTGTCTGACTCTCTGCGGCCCCACTGACTGCAGACCATCAGGCTCTCCTGGCAAGAATACTGAAGTGGGTTGCCATGCCCTCCTCCAGGGGATCTTCCTGACCCCGGGATAAAACTGGCGTGTCTCATATTTCCTGCATTGACAGGGGGGTCTTTCGCACTATCGTCACTTGGGAAGCCCAAAAGGTGGCTTATACCTTTCTAAAAGATTCAGTATATCACTGATTGTGCTGAAAAATTGTTGAAAATTTATACTTCAAAATCATACCTTTATTCTTAATACTATGTTAAACCACAGAAAGCAACAAAAGTTGAATGAAAAATGCAAACTGTCTTATAAAAATGAAAATTCCTATGGCTAGTAAAAGCGTTTGGAAAACAGTACTGCTATCTAATGGCGCCATCTTGTGGAAAACACTGAAGAAAGTTGAGTTTTGAAACATCCTTCAATTGCCTAAAGGCAAAATAAACAGGTATTGGGTAAAAAAAATACTCAAATAAACCTAACACTAAGAAAAATTTATGGCATCACTGACTCAATGGACATGAGTTTGAGCAAACTCTGGTAGTTGGTGATGGACAGGAAAACCTGGCGTGCTAAAGTCCATGGGGTTGGAAGAGTTGGACACGACTGAGTGAACTGAACTGAATTAAACCACTAGACTGCCAGGAAATCCCTAAGTTGTAAGTTCTTTATGTGTTCTATAAATTATGTCAATAAAGGGCTAATAGCCAAAAAAGAGAAAAGAAAAATTTAATTCCAAGTACAGTATTACTTGGGGCTTCCCTTGTGGCTCAGCTGGTAAAAGAATCCGCCCGCAATGCGGGAGACCTGGGTTTGACCCCTAGGTTGGGAAGCTCCCCTGGAGAAGGGAAAGGTACCCACTCCAGTATTCTGGCCTGGAGAATTCCATGGACTGTATAGTCCATGGGGGTCGCAAAGAGTCGGGCACGACTGAGCAACTTTCACTTCACTTCACTTCACTTCTTCATAGTATTACTTAATGAATAATTTTAACCCATGATCAAAAAAAAAAATCTCTTCAGAATCAGAATTAAATATTAAGTATTTGGGAAAAAGGCACTGGGAGTTTGGGGTTATACACAAACTATTTCATATAGAATGGATAAACAATAAGGTCCTACTGTATAGCACAGTGAACTATATTCAATATCCTGGGATAAACCATAATGGAAAAGAATATAAAAAAGACTGCATATGTGTGTATAACTGAATCACTTTGCTATATATAGCAAAAATTACCACAATACTGTAAATGAACTCTACTTCAATTTTAAAAAATTTTAAACAAATATTAAGTATTTAAAGATATTACTGATTCCAAATAAGGAGCTAAATAACAAAAGTTTTAAAACACAAATTTAAAATTAAATTGTATAATATTTAATCATCTCTATTTCAAACTTAAATTTACTAACAAACTAAAATACATTAAAAAGGGGAAGTTATACCACAAATTTTGTAGAATCTACCCTCTATGTGAGCCAAACTGAGACAAAACTGCAACTACTAAAAATGAAAATTTCAATCTTACACTTTTATCTGATGCATGGATATCTATATTTCCATAAACCGTTCCCAGGCAGATCACTTTGCCTCCTGTTGTTTGAACATGTAATTTTTGACTCTGAAAGACAAATACAAAATACACATATAGAAAAAGCATAAATTTGACATACACTAATAAATATTCAACATTTTATACATTTTTAAAAAATAATAATAATAAAGCAGTAACAGAGGAACTAGGAATGAAATAGTAATGTACTGCTTTGAATAATAACATCTGTGAGAAAAGAATGTCAACTGCTGTTAAAGGGATTAAATAAAGCTGTTTGGACTAGAGGGACTCAGGAGTTTTAGTAGCTTAACTGAAGAAAGGGGTGGGAATCAAAGATCACTGTGACTGGCTAACTAAACATAAATGATGAAGATGATAACAACAATCAATGTTACTGTTCATCATCATTAATATGCATATTATTAATAACAATAACATCTATGACTTGGCATTCCTTTTGCATCAATAACAGTGTTTGCTACTTTACACAAACTAACATTTAATTCTCACAACTCAGTGATGCATATTATGTGTTTCCCCATTTTACAGAGAAAGAAATTCAAGAATCAGAAAGGTAAACAACTTTATCAGGTGATATAATGGAAAACAGCAAATTATAAACTAACAGAATCAAACTTACACCTCCTGCCCTGGAAGGCAAGGTTCTTTACCACCAGCGCCACCTAGGTGCTTCTAAGTTCTTGCCAACAGAATATAAGTGGAAATGCTATGTTTAATACCCAGGCTTGCTTTTAGAACTGATGTGCCTTCTCTGTGTTCTGCCCCTTCCATGAGGTGAGTGCATATTACAATAAGGCTTTAATAGATGACAGAGCCAGAAGATGAAAGGAACCTACAGTAACTGAATAGAAATGAGTCACCCACACAAATGAAAAATAAACTTGGACACAAATGAAAACTAAACTATAGCTGTGTGTGAGCTATTAGATGGTTTGATCTATTTTTCAGAGTACCGTTCTTCACCTTAATATCTGTGTAAGTCTTCCGTTCTACCACAAGTATAAAGAGAAAAAGAATAGGTAAATACCAGAGAATGAAAGACAGCAAAAGCAAACCCATCAATATCACAATCAGCAACAACAGAAAAGCATCTGAAAAGTAGGGGGAAAAGTTCAAAACAATCACATGCCTTCTGGTTGCTTTACTTGGAGGAAAAACAAAACAATAAAACTTTAGGTAAAACAGCCCAGGGATGAAATTCAAAAAATTCAGTAAAAAGGGCAAAATGAACCCCTCTTAAAAAGTTCATTTATGTTACAGCATGGTAGACTACTTCATGCCCATAGAAACATGAGTCAGAAGTCCAACTGTATTTAAGAATACTGTCTTTATCAAGGAGACAAGTAATTCATGAACTTTAAAAAAGAATATCTCCAAAATAACTGAAGGGCAGGGAGGCCTGGTGTGCTGTAGTCCATGGGGTCACAGAGTCAGACAGTACTGAACAACAAGAGTTCTTAACCAAACTAACATGACATTCAGGAGTCTGCAAAACTTATGAAATTGTAGGCAAAATTTCATATATATGTATATTTTTTCCAAGTAAATAATCATCCTATTTTCAAAGAAGTCTAAAGTTCAAAAATATTATGAAATAGTTAAATGTTTAAATAAGTCAGAAGCTATTTAGTATAATATAAACTATTATTACTGCATTTTAAAAAATGCAAATGTGTGGCATTCAATGAGGTAAGAGACTATTGCTTGAAAAGTTGACTTATTTATTCCCTAATTATGCTAAAAAAATGTACTACTGCTAGACATTTTGCTTGGACAATAAAGAAAGGTGAAAATAGCATAAACTTGGAATGCAGAAAGGCCCAACTTCAAATCTTAGCTCTATTTATTAACTATGGGAACCTAAATGAGTTCCTCAGTCTCTGTATCCGACAGTTTCTTCCTTGATAAAAAGGAGACAATTCATGGAATAAATGAAGGCTTAGCTAGGTTTCTGGATATATAATAAGAACTCAGTAGACAGTTTTGTTGTTTGTTGTTGTTCGGTCACTAAGTTGTGTATGACTCTTTGGAGACCCCATGGACGGTAGCCCACTAGAGTTCCTCTGTCCTTGAGATTTCCCAGGCAAGAATACTGGAGTTGGTTGCCATTTCCTCCTCCAGGGGATATTCCCAACCCAGGGATCGGAACCCATATCTTCCATATCTCCTGCATTAACAGGCGGATTCTTTACCGCTGAGCCACCAGTAGCTATTATAATTGCTATCAACATCTTATTACATAGATCAAATATATCTCAAATCCTTAAAATGAGTGGAATAGAAACTTACATTAAAGGCAATCACTAACTAGAAATAATATTATACTGTATTTAAAGCTTTAAACCAGGTATTTTATGAAGCGTTTCCATTTGTGAATTTAGGTCAGTTAAATTCTGAAATCTCAAGAATGATTCTCTCAACTCAATTCTTCTAACTATCACTAAGATTCAGTGGACCCAAATTTAATTTTTGAATATTTTTGAACTATTCTATTTGTGGGCTTCTCTGGAGATCAGTTGGTAAAGAATCTGCCTGCAATGTGGGGAACCTGGGTTGTATCCCTGGGTGGGAAAGATCCCCTGGAGAAGGAAATGGCAACCAAACCCATATTCTGGTCTGGAGAATTCCATGAACAGAGGAGCCTGGTGGGCTATAGTCCATGGGGTCATAAAGAGTATGACACAATTGAGCAACTAACATGTTCTATTTGTAGGATTGATGTATCGTGACTTTTATTCTTTCTAAGAGGTATCCTAAAAAAGTAAATAGAAGATTTACCAATTTTTTAAATAGGATAGGCATTATTCTATCTTCAAATTACTGTAATGGTCCACTGGGCTCCTTTGTAAATCTAAAATACATTATGGGATCTTAGTAATCTTATTTTTCATATGTCTCAAAACATTTGCTACTTCATTATCCGAGTAGATATTTCAATATCATTTTTCATTATTCCTAACTCTGACAGAAAATGTCTAAAAGAATAAGACAACAGAAGAATGATAAACTTGCTCTGAATAGTGTGTTTGGTGGTGGTAGTTTAGTTGCTGAGTTGTGTGCGACTATTGCTACCCCATGTACTGTAGCCCGCCAAGGTCCTCTGTCCATGGGATTTCCCAGGAAAGAATACTGGAATGGGATGCCATTTTCTTCTCCAGGGGATCTTCCCAACTTAAGAATCGAACCCAGGTCTCCAGTATTGCAGGAGGACTTCTGTGCAGGCGGATTCTTTACAGACTGAGCTAGGAGGGAAGTTTTGAATGGTGGTTCTTAACTAAAAGTGATTTTGCCCCCCAGAGGAGGACAATGTGTGGAGATATTTTTCATTGTCCTAAATGAGGACTGTTTCTTAGCACTTTGTTTACAGAAGCTAGGAATACTGCTACACACCCTACAGTGCATAGGTCAGCCCCTGACAACAAAAATTTATCCAGCCCAAAATGTCAATAGTGCCAAAGCTGAGAAATCACTTTCCATGTAATGCACATAATGATAGAAAAAAGAAAAACTGACAAAACAGATATTTCAGAATTTTCAGATGAATCAAAAGATTAATGCAAAGACAGACAGCAGTACAGTTGCTTCTAATTTTGATTGTGAAATTGAAAATCTAAGACTCTGAGTCTCCAGGGGACAATATTCTAGACGAGTATTCTGAAATTCAAGCATTGATGAGTGAACAATACATTTATAAGAACAAAAAGGAACCATGGTATTCTCATCCAGCTAGTCATTCAACATGAAAACCACACTGTGCAATCTTTTACAATAAGAACTGGAACCATCTCATTTTTCCAAAAGGGTATGTAATCTTTTTTGATATGCGTGCAACTAAATGTATTGAAAAGGATCACATGTGAACAGATGACAAAGGCAGGTGTGTAAATAAAGGTGGTTGGAACAAAACAAATAATGTAAAAAGAAATTTAATGTATCCAATTAATCATTCTAATTAGTGTTTATGAAATTAAAAATGAAAATGTTTTGCAATTATGAAGTAGAGATGACTGACTTCTCTTCAACAATACAACAAAGTTCACAAAAGTATTGAGTTCTGAATATGAAATATAAGAAGTACCAGTAAGAATAAGCTAAATTTATCAATATGCATTTGAAATCATTTAGAGCTGAGACAAATCTAATTTTAAGAAAATTAAATATAAAAGTGTTACAGCACAAAATGAAGCTTTTGTAGTGAAATACCTACTTAATCCTTAAGTAATGGGCTACCTGGTACATTATAATTTTGATTAACTTAATATTTTAAGCATATTTATAATGCTTAAAGACTTTTCCTTACTCCTTAATAAATGTAAGAAAATCATTCTTTAATCTCTTAAGCTTGGTAAGCTCTAAGAATACTAAGAACGTATTATGAGCTTTGCTGTACACTTTGAAATGAAATCTAAATGTAATATGATGAAAACCTCCAAAGTTGCTACAACTTCTACAGTGTCATAACAAAACTGATTTTAAAACAAAAGTTTTACAAGGAATTTCTGAGTGATGAATAAATGATACTCAGTATTTTCAGTAAATGATATTCAGAATAACAGCCTTCATTAGATACCATGGTTCACAGTTTAAAGTGTTTTAAAAAATAATATTAAAACAAAATTAGAAAAACAAATATACCTTAACAGACTGTAAGATGCTAGTCCCCTGCTCAGTTTCAATTTTGCAATTATCACACTCAATATTTTGGACCTTTACACAGCCAGACCCTGATGACTGGATATTCAAATCTACAAATGAAAAAAAGAAAATCCAAGTTACTATGGCTAATGGCTCCAAAGCATTTAAGTATCCTGCAGAAATTCAGTTCCTCAGTCATGTTCATAATGTTACAGAATTCTGGAAAGAACATAGTTGTCAGTAGTCTGTCTCTAAAGGTAAGGGACCTCCACCACAGCAGGACCAAATGTAAAGCCCTTTTCTACCAGTTTTTAAAAAGCAGTTATTTCTGTTGGCCTCTATCATCTAAAGAAAAGAAGTAACATAGGAGGTAAGCAAAGGAGCTCAAAGATTCCAAATTCTTATAGGCACACCTGGAAAAGATCACAGAAGCCTCTTTCCCACTGAGAAAATACACACACACAAATTTGAGTAAGAATACAGCAACTTAACATCATTATGGTGAACTGGATAAGTCATTTAGATTATTCTCTTTTAAAGGTCAAAGATTTGTTTCCAAACCTCCCTCAAATTTAAAGCATACTGTAGAAGAAATGTATGTATCAGTGTACATGATCATGACTAAGGTTTTCAAATCCTACCTCTAACCTTCCATATTATCATGCAACTATATCACCAGGTAATCTGAACTAATAAAGAGTAGAACAACACAGAGTAGAACACTCTGAAAAATTCAGTACTGAATAATATTAAAACCTCACAATTGTGGATAACAGTAATATACATGAAAAAAGTTTAGAAAATAAGCCACGCTTAGTTTGAAAGTTTAACATTATGTGTCTGCGTACATGCTGAGTAGTCTCTGACTCTTTGCAACCCCACATACTGCAGACCACCAGGTTCTCTGTCTTTGGAAGTCTCCAGACAAGAATATTGGAGTGGGCCACTCCTGGGGATCTTCTCGACCCAGGGACTAAACCTAAGTCTCTTACATCTCCTGCACTGGCAGGCAGATTCTTTACCACTGTACTACCTGGGAAGCCCAACTTTAACCTTAAATTCAACTTAATATGCAACCTTAAATGTGTCTGTATAAAAATTTAAAACACCAATACTTAATACCTAATTCAAATATTGATGATTTCCCTTAAACCAGACCAGTGAAGTAATGTTGCCCCAAACACAAACTACTGGGGCCTAACACTACAATTCCAATAGTTATGGTATAAAGATCAGTTTCTACAGTTGTGTATACGGTAGTCTCTATAAAGGGAAATATTTTGATTTGGATTAATATAAAAAACATAAAAGCCAATTTTACCCCATATTTACATGGATGCAAATGTAGCTGGCAAATTTTTAGCCATTAAGTAGTGTTATAACATAAGCCTTGATCTCAGGCAGTAAAGATAGGCATGGGGAAAAGAAAACAGACTCTAAATATACTCTACCCTCAACAGGTGGTAGAGAAGTTAAGGCTAGATATTGAGTGGTAGTAACGCTATTCTCACTCTTTCATTGAAACAGTTATAGACAAACTGGAGGAACACAAGTTGAGTATGAAGAAAACTGAACTATGTTGATTTGAGGGGCCTGTGGAATACACACACGGAAACAGTGAAATTGTAAATGGGATTCTGGCTCTGAAAAGAGGAATCAACAAATAATGAGGTTTGGGTAGCTCATTTTGATCTGAGCTGCCATAAAATTTTGCTTATCTATATTTCAATTTTCAGTTTATTTTGTACTATCTAATGCATTAGCAAATCTTCCTCCCCACTGTAGACTTTTATATTTTGAGATCAGGGTCTCTTACTCATCTAGGTTAGTTTAAAAAAAAAAAAATTGAGAAGCAATTAAGCATAGTTGTTCAGCAGACTTTAGTCAGTTCAAATCTCAGCTCCACCATCTTATATCTGAGCGACAACAGGCATATTTTTTGATCTATCCCACTAGAAATTAAGTTTCATGAGGACACGGATCTCCTCTACTTGTTCACCCATAATAAGTACTCAGTATATGAAACTTGTGCTGTGCTGTGTTGCTTCAAGCATATCCAATTCTTTGCCACATTGTGGATGGTAGGCCATCAGGCTCCTCTGACCATGGGATTCTCCAGGCAAGAGTACTGGAGTGGGTTGCCATGCCCTCCTCAGGGGATCTTCCCCACCCAGGGGACTGAACCAGTCTCTAGTCTCCTGCATTGACAAGAGGGTTCTTTACCACTAGGGGGTCATCAAACTTGTTGAATTTCAATTCTCTTACAGTAAATGGTGACAAAACAGTGTCTATAATATAGTGCAATTGTAATTAGAAAAGATTATTTTGGAAGTGTTATCTGCTATTATGATCATTAATAGTATCTTCCTTCAGTCTTAGGAAGGCAGAGAACCCAGGAAGACGTTCCTAGAGAAGTGTCACAGAAACTGTGGCTTCCATGTGAGAAATAACATGGAACTCAAAACACCTAGAAAACATATCTGGCAGCCATTATCAATTGACCTTTCTGGGGCAATCTATGTGTTTTTCTTCAAAGCCTGCAACTCACAGAAAATTTACTTAGGCTAAAATAAATGCTGACGTTTTCAGTAAGAAGCCGGGTGCCTATTAGAAACCAAACACTTGGTCCGGATTATATGGAACATACTATAGGCAAGGCTGTTTGGGGAACAGACCCCAGGCCATGAGCAAGTGGAAATGTGGACGGCCTGCCATGCCACTGAATGGATTACCAAAATACTTTAACCCTGAAAAATAAAACACTTTGTTATGGACAAAGTGCAGTAACACAAATAGGAACAAAGTGTCAAAGGAGGATAAGACAAAAAAAATGTTATGTGGCTTGCTGCTGCTGCTAAGTCGCTTCAGTCGTGTCCAACTCTGTGCAATCCCATAGAAGGCAGCCCACCAGACTCCGCAGTTCCTAGGATTCTCCAGGGAAGAACACTGGAGTGGGTTGCCATTTCCTTCTCCAATACATGAAAGTGAAAAGTGAAAGTGAAGTCGCTCAGTTGTGTCCGACTCTTAGCGACCCCATGGATTGCAGCCTATCAGGCTCCTTTGTCCATGGGATTTTCCAGGCAAGAGCACTGGCGTGGGGTGCCATTGCCTTCTCCGGTTATGTGGCTTAGGTTATTCCAAATCATGTTTCTACTAGATTTGTAAAATTGCTATAACTGAAAACTTAATTCCTAACTGCTACTCAGAAACCCAAAGTAAAACAGGAAAAAAAAAAAAAAAAGACACAGCTTCTGAAGGGGTCAGGAGTAAATTACGTTGAAAAGTCAGGTCCAAAGGGACAAATTAAAAATGCACGTCGGCCTAATTTCAGAAGGTCACAGGGTGTGCCCCGGGACCCAAACCCGTTTTACAGTCCCTTACCAAACTTCAGGGGGGCGTTCACTTCCACGGACGCCTGGTGGTCGATGGCATCAGCCACGATGGTCACCTCCTTCTGCGCCTCGTCGTAGTTCACCTGCAGGCCGGCCAGGGCCCGCGCCCCGCCCTCCACTCCGCTCACTGTGACCAGCACGCGGTCGCCGTCTGGGTAGGTGAGGGGGTCCAGGGGCCTCACGGTCAGGTGGCATGGGAGCCGCGCCCGCAGCCGGCCGAAAGGGCTCACCAGCAGCGCCCACTCCTTCAGAGTCCTGCGCGCAGGGTCAGACCTAGAGACCTCGGGCTGGGACCCACCTGAGCCGTACAGCCGGGACTGACATGTCCCACAGGCCCAGCGCCCGGTGGCCTCGCCGGCCCACACTCTGAGCAGACAGAGCCGGAGGCAGCTCAGCCCCCATCCCGAGAAGGGGAACATGGCGTGCCCCTCTTTCTCCCTCAGATTACTTCAGCCTCAGGTTAGTCTCCCCACCTCCCGTCGGCTTGCCGCTGGGCTGACCAAGCCAAAAGGGAGATACTTGATAAGAGGGTCTGCTGAAGCAATAGCAAGACCACTCACTTCGTTCAGCAATATAAACGTCAGCTACACGGGTCTAGGCGGCAAATTGGAATTTTAAAGTTCTAAGTATCCATACTGACCAGAACTCCTCGCCTACTCCTGCCCCTTTCGCAAGGGCCGGTGGGATAGGTAGTTCCAACGGTGGCCAGATGTTGAAGGGTTTGGACAACTGAGAAACTACATTTCCCAGAAGGCAGTGCGCAGGATGCTAAGGGTAGTTAGAGCCAGCTGCTGGACGGAACTCGGAAGGCCTGCGCTTATCCCTCAAGCCCTTTAGCCATTGGAAGGACGAGGGGGGAAAAAAAAAATCTACACCGGAATCCACTGGCCAATGGAAAGCGAGGAAAGCAAAAGATGGGCCAGGCTGCTTGGTTTCCTTGGATACCGAGGACGCGACTTCTCCGAAGAGGGTGGAGATTTGGACTGAGACGGAGGAAGATCCACTGAGAAAAATTAGGAGCCTAAATAAGGATCAGGACGAAGAGAAGAGCTAAGAAACTGCGCTTTTAAAGGTGAGAACGTGATTTAAAATAGGAGTACCCTCAGTGAGTGGTTAGCTCCAACATCATTAAATTAGTGTGGGTTACCCTGGGATGGAGAATAGCTCTGCAAGAGGTTAAAGACTCATTAGTGCTCGCAAAGGAAACTCCCTCTTCGAGAGCAAATATAGGAATATCATTAGCGTCCTGTCTCCTTTCAGACTCTAAATGACCTCAGGGCAGTCACTGAATGTATCTGAATTTTAACTGCTTGCTCTTAAAATTAGGTCAATAATACCTTCTTTGTCTTGGCTCAAAGGTTTTTTTTGTTTTTGTTTTTGTTTTTTAAGGGATCGAATGAGATAATGGATGTGAACACCAGTGCACACGCTGTCAAGTTGCAGTTTATACTATTTTTATTTTATATCTAAAAATCCTAATGAACTGAGCTAAAGTCCTCAAAGGCCCAAGTCACAGAGTTCTTCGCAAGCCATTATCTCTTTAAAAATTAAGTGTTTTTCTTAAGTTATCCGTTATCCTTTCCTCCTTTCTGTCCTGGTCCATCTCTCTCCTTATAAAGGCTCACTCATGATAGATGCAAGCTTTTAGGTTCATCAGGTTTCCACTGCATATTATATCTGTCCTTGGTTTTGTGTTTCATTTCATCATAATTATTCAAACTGATCTTCAAACTGTCTTTTTAATAAAATCCCACAGGAATAACTTTGCAAAAGGCATTGGTTTAAGCATGTTGAGAACGCACTCAACTTAGTTGTTCAGTTCAGTTCAGTCGCTCAGTCGTGTCTGATTCTTTGCGACCACATGGACTGCAGCACACCAGGCCTCCCTGTCCATCACCAACTCCCGGAGTTTACTCAAACTCATGTTCATTGAATCGGTGGTGCCATCCAACCATCTCATCCCTTGTCATCCCCTTCTCCTTCTGCCTTCTATTTTTTCCAGCATCAGGGTCTTTTCAAATGAGTCAGCTCTTCACATCAGATGGCCAAAGTATTGGAATTTCAGCTTCAACATTAGTCCTTCCAATGAATATTCTGGACTGATTCCCTTTAGGAAGGACTGGTTGGATCTCCTTGCAGTCCAACAGACTCTCAAGAGTCTTCCCCAACACCACAGTTCAAAAGCATCAATTCTTCGGTCCTCAGCTTTCTTTATAGTCCAACTCTCACATCCATATATGACCACTGGAAAAGCCATGGCCTTGACTAGACAGACCTTTGTTGGCAAAGTAATGTCTCTGCTTTTTAATATGCTGTCTAGCTTGGTCATAACTTTTCTTCCAAGGAGCAAACGTCTGTTAATTTCATGGCTGCAGTCACCATCTGCAGTGATTTGGAGCCCAAAAAAATAAAGTCTATCACTGTTTCTATTGTTTCCCCATCTATTTCCCATGAAGTGATGGGACATGATGCCATGACTTAGTTTTCTGAATGTTGAGCTTTAAGCCTACTTCACTCTCCTCTTTCACTTTCATCAAGAGGCTCTTTAGTTTCTTTTCACTTTCTGCCATAAGGGTGGTGTCATCTGCATATCTGAGGTTACTGATATTTCTCCCAGCAATCTTGTTTCCAGCTTGTGCTTCATCCAGTCCAGCATTTCTCATGATGTACTCTGCATATAAGTTAAGTAAGCAGGGTGAGAATATACAGCCTTGATGTACTCCTTTTCCTATTTGGAACCAGTCTAATGCTCCATATTCAGTTCTAACTGTTCCTTCTTGACCTGCATACAGATTTCTCAAGAGGCAGATCAGGTGGTCTGGTATTACCATCTCTTTCAGAATTTTCCATGGTTTGTGGTGATCCACACAGTCAAAGGCTTTGGCATAGTCAATAAAGCAGAAATAGATGCTTTTCTGGAACTCTCTTGCTTTTTTGATGATCCAGCAGGTGTTGGCAATTTATCTCTGGTTCCTCTGCCTTTTCTAAAACCAGCTTGAACATCTGGAAGTTCACAGTTCATGTACTATTGAAGCCTGGATTGAAGAATTTTGATCATTACTTTGCTAGCGTGTGAGATAAGTGCAATTGTGCAGTAGTTTGCGTATTCTTTGGCATTGCCTTTCTTTGGGATTGGAATGAAAACGGACCTTTTCCAGTCCTATGGTCACTGCTGAGTTTTCCAAATTTACTGCCATACTGAGTGCAGCACTTTCACAGCATCATCTTTCAGGATTTGAAATAGCTCAACTAGAATTCCATCACCTCCACTGACTTTATTCATAGTGATGCTTCCTAAGGCCCACTTGACTTCACATTCCAGGATGTCTGGTTCAAGGTGATGCTCACACCATTGTGATTATCTGGGTTGTGAAGATCTTTTTTGTACAGTTCTTCTGTGTATTCTTGCCACCTCTTCTTAATATCTTCTGCTTCTGTTAGGCCCATACCATTTCTGTCCTTTATTGAGCCCATCTTTGCATGAAAAGTTCCTTTGGTATCTCTAATTTTCTTGAAGAGATCTCTAGTCTTTCCCATTCTATTGTTTTCCTCTATTTCTTTGCACTGATCACTGAGGAAGGCTTTCTTATCTCTCTTTGCTCTTCTTTGGAACTCTGCATTCAAATGGGTTTATCTTTCCTTTTCTCCTTTGCTTTTTTGCTTCTCTTCTTTTCACAGCTATTTGTAAGGCCTCCTCAGACAGCCATTTTTCTTTTTTGCATTTCTTTTTCTTGGGGGGGGGTGGTCTTGATCCCTGTCTCCTGTACACTGTCACGAACCTATGTCCATAGTTCATCAGGCACTCTGTCTATCAGATCTACTCCCTTAAATCTATTTCTCACTTCTACTGTATAAACATAAGGGATTTTATTTAGGTCGTACCTGAATGGTCTAGTAGTTTCCCCCACTTTCTTCAATTTAAGTCTGAATTTGGCAATAAGGAGTTCATGATCTGAGCCACAGTCAGCTCCTGGTCTTGTTTTTGCTGACTGTATAGAGCTTCTCCATCTTTGGCTGCAAAGAATATAATCAATCTGATTTCAGTGTTGACCATCTGGTGATGTCCATGTGTAAAGTCTTCTCTTGTGTTGTTGGAAGAGGGTGTTTACTATGACCAGTGTGTTCTCTTGGCAAAACTCTATTAGCCTTTGCCCTGCTTCATTTTGTACTCCAAGGCCAAATTTGTCTGTTACTCCAGGTGTTCTTGACTTCCTACTTTTGCATTCCATTTCCCTTAATGAAAAGGACATCTTTTTGAGGTGTTAGTTCTAGAAGGTCTTGTAGGTCTTCATAGAACCATTCAACTTACACGTGGCAAATATTTTTAGATTAAATAGAAAACCCTAATGGATGATTTTGTTATGGTATGGTAATTTTGTTATGGTGATTTTTCTGACGCAAACCAAGTCAATGGAATTGGCAACTGAACAATAATTGTCTATGTGGCAAAAGTCATTGCTTTACTATTTTCAAATAAATAAAATAAAACTGACCAAAACATTACTTTTTGGATCATCTGAGCTTTAGAATGAAGATTATGTACATTAAGGTTAACATAAGATATTAAAAAGTTAGTGATACTTTTATAAGTCTGATGTCATGTAGCAAGTCTGTCCACATATCAATAATAGACAATAAAAGTACCACCTTCCACCTTTATGACATTATAGTTTTCAGAGCATATTTACATGTATCATCTCATGGTATCCTCACAAAACACTCTGTGTTTAGCAGGGCAAGTATTATTATGCTCACATTATTGATGAAGAAACAAATTTTGAAAGATTAAGAAACTATTAGAAGGTCTGACCCTCTCACCACTCTACTAAAAGGTCCTTCTATTTTCCTGACACCTTTGGAGAAAAAAAAATTATTTACAAAATGAATAGAAAGTTGTATATAACTTCCCTCCATATTTGGAATTTACTTGTAAAACATTTTTGCACAGTCAGTTTTTTAAAAGCCATTCCTTCGGTCATGAACATGCAGTGCTTTTAGGAGTATGTTCTTAAAACTTTCAGAGTTCAGTTTAGCAATATGCATAAAGCACCTTAAAAATGTGTGTATCCACAACCTAGAAATTGTACTTTTTGGAACTTAATATAAACATAAAATTAGGGATATTCACAAAAACTTACATTCAAGGAATTTTTTTACAGGATTATTTATGATAATAAAGAACTGAAGCAACTTGAATGTCCAAAAAATAGGAGGGTGTTACATTAATTTGTGAACATCTGAAATATTACACAATAACTTAAAAATTATATTTTGAAGACTGTTCAATGATATGTGAAATCTTCTACAACATAAAGAAAAACCTATAATTCTCCTTCTTTGTATGGAAGAACTACACCCACAACTACCACACATAACTTCCCTTCTGACACTTCCAGTCATCCAGTGTGTGGAGATTTTCCCCTCAACAAAAAGCAGTTTCTGTGACACCAGCTGGATGTCCTACAATTCAACTCAATTCTGACACTAATGTTAGATCCCATAGGTTAGGGCTTCAATTCCACAAAACTGCTCGCACCCACTTCAGATGCCGATCACAGGTAGGAAGTCTTCAGGTTACCCACAACTTCTATCCCATTTGCCTAGAAATTGGAGATTCCCACAAGCCCCGCCTCAGATTGAATTAATTTGCTAGTGTGGCTCACAGAAATTGGGAAAATACTTGAA